TGGCAAAAATTGGAAGCCTGTAATGAACGAAAGCATGAGGCTCCGTGTATTTTCTTTAGCAGCAGACAAAAGGATAAAGTTAAACATAAATATTAATTTTATATCGCTAAAAATTTATTGGCGGACTATTTTGTGCAGTGCTTCTAATTTTACTCTGGAATCATCCAGTCAGTGCAGTTATGACAAAACACTTAGACATGTTGGAAACTCACTTTAACGAGAATATCAGCTCAATTTCTAGTAATTTAAAATCGGTTGATGAGCCTTCTAATGTTAAGCATGGTTGCAGTAGGAATAGCCTTGCGATTGAAGGAAAATTGCAGGAAAATACAAACGAAACGTTAGGGATCCAGCACAGTCAAATAATAGTTCTGCTTGAGCAGCAGAATTCAAATTTTTGGCGTTAAATAACATCGAGTGGCTCAAAATAACCATCATTACAATTCACTTGTACAAATGCAAATTTGAGAGAAGCACGATGTTGATCCACTAATAAAATTATACCATATTTTCATCATCATTGTGTAGTATTTCGACTGATTGATTACTGGCTGTACCGTTCATTTAGAGAAAAAAGGTTCAGTAAAATCCCGTTATCATTTTTGCTGAGGTATTCTTGCATGTTACGGTGGACAGGAGTAGACAAGCGTTTGAGAAGATTTTGAGTGAAGGGTAGACTCGATTCAGAGCAGGCAGTGGATTATGAAATCAGGTACTCGCAATGAGACAGGTCAGCTACAGCTAATGGAAAAGAAACGAGAATGGGGATCAAAATTCTATGCAAAGCGTTTCACTCAATGTAGAAAAGTTCCTTGTTGAAAGTTGATGAACTACACCGAATCCCACGGAATTATTCGCAAAATTAATAATGCGTATGATCTTTTGACAAGTGTCTTGCGAATTAATGGTAAGTCAAGCAAATTCTTTCATAGAAAATTTTGAGTAAGGCGAGGAGGAGTGGAGTGTTTTCTGCTGTTTGTGATGCTTCCAGACTCAATGTCCAAATAATCGGAAAGAGTCCAGTTTCGGAGGCAAGACTGGGCAACGTCTGCGTAAGCGCTCTTGCATCTGTGGATGGTGCTGTATTGTTCGCAAACAACCAATTTTTCGAGGCTGTGGCATCACTTTCCCTCCAGAAAAAGAGGTTTTCTTATCTAAGCCGCTCGATTAACTTAAAGAAGTCGAAGTGAATGGAAATTGGTATAATCCAGACCAGAAACTGTCTGACTCTTGTCACCTAGGTTGTGGAAAAGGCGTCACAACAACCGTATCTTGGGAGTACATTGGCCGCATAAGGACTAGTGGCAACAGATTTAAGAGGCGATATGCGTTTGCTCTAGAGGCAACAAATAAGTTAAGTTTATTAGCTTTGGCAACGGGTTTTACTATCAGCATAAGCATGTCCGTTGCTCTGGAATCATAGAGGCACATGAAATGTATATATACAGATGATTGATGGTAGGTCAGAAGGTTATGTACAAATAATTGCTCTAGCCTCTCTGGTTGTCTCAGAGTCCCTGCCAGGAAAGGTAGAGTGGGTCATTGGCCAAGTTCTGTCCAAGCTAGAAATGCATTGAATGGGCTCTGGATGCCTTGATGCAGAGACAGGGCTTGCTGTAACTTTGGATGCAACGGGTGACAATCATCAGCTAGCGTTCTGTGATTCACGTGAGAGGCAGCTGCAATTGTTATGCTCGCAATGCGGCCAGCAATTTCTTTGTTAGGGATGCTACTAATCCTAAGTATTATCATTACGACACGACGTGTGATCTGGATTCCTTCTTCGCTAAACCTGA